GAGGAATCTAAATAAAATAATAATAAAAAAAAACGAAAGAATATTAATCTACAACCCAGTGTGTCTGAAGATTTTAATTTTTTAATATTTTTTTATTGTTCAAAATATTATATATATATATATATATATATATATATATATATATATATATATATCAAAGGAAAAAACTTAACACATCTCGAAAAATCCGGTAATAAATTTATTTCAGCAGGTAAGTTTTTCATACCTGCTTCATCAGACCAAAATTACAAAATGGTTTAAATTTATCCAGACAATGTTTTTTTTTTTTAACATTTGACACATGAATGTCCAAGATCGCTCGTCCGTTTTACAGATCCCGACATCTATCAGAGAGATGAAATTTAAATTCTTATTATTGCATTATTCCAAAATTTTAACACATCAGCTTTTAACGTCAACAACTGAGCACAAATAGATGCACAAGGCTCTTTTCCCAGAGGGCATAACGGGCGAAAAACATGAAGACAATTCGTAAATAATGATAACTCCTAATCACATGAAACTCAAATAGAAAGTATCATTCCAAAATCGGAAAAATTCCAAATTCAAAAAAGTCATTTGCTTCAAAGGATTTCAAATAAGAGATTGTATATGAGAGAGAGAGAGAGAGAGAGATCGTGTCTGTGTGTTTCTAATGTTCCTTTTAGTCTTTGTTATTGTTTTTGTTTTACAATTTATTCTCCAACCAACTTCAGTTGAACTGTACTATGCAAAAATTAGCTGCTTATAATTTGCTCTCAATTATATGCCATGTCATCCTGAAGACTTTGGAAACTAGAGGAATTGGCACAAATAACCAAGAGAATGAAAAAGCAGAGATTAATATTACAAAGGAGTCAGTAACAAAACTAAATGTGTTTTAACATGTAAATATGTGGTGGTGTTCCACATATTTAAAAATAAAAAAAATTAAAAAATAATTTCTGGGACACTCATCCCTGGTCTTTTGAACAGGATTAGGGGTTTATCCCTTGTTTCCTGCTTAGGATTGGGTTTCCAGTTCCTTCTAACATCTCTGCCTGAACTCTGAAATTTTAATCACCAATTTTCTTATCAATAGTAGTTAGTAAGTTCGCCTATCTTTTAGTCTACACTCCTCCCCAGTCTTTCGAACCTTAGTTCCCTGTTTAGGATTAGGTTTTCAGTTCCTTCTAAAGTTTTTTCATTCCCAGTAGCCCACTTGCGTCTTAGTGTCATTATCGCCTTGATGAGAGCGAACTGATTAAAAAAGAAAAAATAAATAAAAAAGTGACTAGCACGAAATACAAAAGATAAAGTGGAACAAAGCATTAAAAATAAATCAGCAACAAAGCGCCAAGATTGTTTACTGTGTAAATCATGAAACACCAAATAAAGAATATATTTGAAGAACACGAAAGACTGATAATGGTGGGAATAGATGTTTTTCAGCCAGGAAACATCTTGCATTCATTAACCGAGCAGTCAATATTAGTGTCAGTTGAAACTTACAATATCTTTTTCTTAAAGCAGTTTTTTTTTCTTCAGGAAATTAGACTTCTCAAGTTCACTGTTAGCTCTTTCTAGAACTGATCAGTTTCCTTCTGAGCTTTCTAGAATTGATAGGCGTTTCCTTCTTAGCTTTCTAGAACTGATCAGTTTCCTTCTGAGCTTTCTAGAATTGATAGGCGTTTCCTTCTTAGCTTTCCACAATACCAGAAACAAAAGGTTAAAATCTTCATTATATCATTATTTGGCCTTCAATTTACATATGCTATGTATTTTTTGTAGTTGATGCTGTTGGAAATGTTCAATTGATACAACTTATTTGGTAAAACTCATGATTTTTGTATCACCAATCTAGTGCCTGATGAAGGACTGTCCTAGATTTATAGGATTAATTCATTTCAAATCATTTTTATTATTTGATCTGGGAAAAGTTGTATACAGATGATATTTCAAATATTTCTGAATAAGTCGAGATCTGCCGAGGCCATTTAAGGATGTGGCCTAAGTTGAGATCTGCCGAGGCCATTTAAGGATGTGGCCTAAGTTGAGATCTGCCAAAGCCATTTAAGGACACAGCCTAAGTTGAGATCTGCCGAGGCCATTTAAGGATGTGGCCTAAGTTGAGATCTGCCAAAGCCATTTAAGGACACAGCCTAAGTTGAGATCTGCCAAAGCCATTTAAGGACACAGCCTAAGTTGAGATCTGCCAAAGCCATTTAAGGACACAGCCTAAGTTGAGATCTGCCAAGGCCATATCAGAAGATGGCTTAAGTTTTCAGGTCACTGGTTTGGTTTTGTTGCTTCTTACAGTGTAAAAGTACCCAAAGCCCAACTTCCCCTGTATTCAATTTCTCATTTGCGTTACTAAATTTGTTATGAGTGAAAAAAAAAAAAAAATGAACATATCAAATATGAAAACAGTCAACAAGACTGAATATAAACAGAAAAGTTCATGAAAAATAAAATTTAATCCAATATTTTTTTCTAGCTTTAGCCACATAGTCTACAACTTGTCAAAAATATAGCTCTACATGTTAAGAAAATAAATATTCTTACCTGACCCTGAGGAGCATTAACATCATGAAACTTATAGACAAGTATGATGAAGATTTTATATATTGATAATTATATATAAATATATATCACTTTAACATAAGCTAGAAAGCTTGATATATAGTGCAAATTTATTACACCTAAAAAACACATTATTTACTAAAACTTAAATGTTGGCAATTTTTTGTAAAAAAATGTGTTCAAGATCAAACACAGAGTAACAATAATCAAGATAACAAAAAGTTCAAGACTTATCTTAAGATCATTTTCAAATTTCACAGATACACTGTTCATCAGGGTCAGATAAATCTATTGAATTTATTGACAGGTATCACATTTATATATATTGCATAAGGAATGCTAGTCAGGTTCCAAATACATTTCAATTTAGTTTTAAACTAAAAAATTTCATCATGTAACATTTAAATTTAAAAAACTTTTTAACAATAACATTAAAATTGTTTGAGTTTTATATAAAAATTTATATATTTTCACCATTGTGAAAGGATTTGTATGCGATAAAAATAAACACAGCAAATTCACCATCAGTCTTAATTCAAAATATTAGACATAAAACATTATAATATTCAAAATTATTGATTATTTTTAATTATTTATTTATAGAGGGTGTGACAGAAATCCCTCCCACATAACGGTAAGACATGAGCTAAATAAAGACACCATTACCACTAAAGTCTTACCATTATAGGGGAGCTATTTATGCCACAACTTGTAGATTTTTTTTACAGCTCATGACAGCTATTAGGGAGATGTGATTACATATACTTTAATGTTAAAAAATTATTCATTATTATTATTGTTTAGGTAATAAGCATTATAACATAGCACAAATACCTATATTGTGAAAAAAGGAATTTACAACAATATATGCATTTTTTACGTATTTATGGTTATTTTTTTAATTTTTATCAAAAACAACATTCTTGTACATGTAGTTAAGGATAATATTATACATAATTTAACAATTTTTTTTAATTAATAACTATTTGTACTCAGTTGTTGACATTAATAGCCATCTACTGATGTTAAAATTTTGGAATAATGCAATTAATAAAAATTTAAATTTCGTCTCTCTGATAGATGTCACAATCTATAAAACAAAAATATCTAATTTCTGTCCAAATTTCTGGGATGAGGTGTTATCATTTACACTAGTTACATTCAGACTATTGTCCTTATCTTAGCCATTGTGTCCTCCTGCTTTTATCAGATGTATATAATGGGGGGTAACCTACCATGAATTCTGAACTAAACCCTTTATTTAATCTGCTAGACACTTCTCGATCAAATACTGACTGTTTAACCTCTGGCCTTAATCAGATGTAATATCAATCTGGGTAATCCACAGAGAATTCCAAACTGAACGAATATACAGAGGCAGACTGTTCTCATTATGTCTAAGGATATCATCTAGTTTTTTTATTTTTAGGACTGCTCAGATATTACTTAACCTCTTTCCACTAAAACAAATACACAATGCCTGGCTCAGAGATCAAACTCACACCAAATTCACAAACCAATGTTTAATCCACTAGGCTATTGGCCCATAAATGTTATTGCTCACTCTGAAACTGGGTGAGCAATAACTGCAGTACAAAAATTAGAATTAGACGAGATATCCCTAGACATGAGCAATGGAACAAGAACAGTCTAACCCCATAGGTTACACAGATCAATATACACCTGATGAGGGCCAGAGAGTGCAATAGTCGAAACTGTGATAACAACAAAGATTAGGACAATATTCTGGATGACATTAGTGTAAATAAATATTTATTTTTTCATATTTTATTTACATATATATATTTTTTTTTTTAGATATATAAGTAAATAATCAGTAATTTTTAATATTATGATGATCATGTCATTTTTAATAGGCACTATCAAAAAACCACACATTTTAGGGGAAAGAAGTATGACAAAGTGAAAAAAGTTTTTTTTAAAGTCTTAAAAGACTAAACGTGTCACACACAAACTTATTCCACTTTGTCATACTTCTTTCCCCTAAAATTGTTGATATATAAAAATTTATATTTAATTTTCCGCAAAAACCTATTTCCTCAAGATTACTTTTGTCTCAGATTGCTATGTTTAAACAAAAATAAAATTTATCAATTCCATAACATTAGAAATGGAAGCAGCCACAAAATTCTCAGACAATTTCTTAAAATTTGTTTTATTTTTTTTTAATTGTTTTATTTTCCGTTTCTATTTCATGTTTATTTTTTCACCAATGGAATCCATAAGCATCCAGGAAATATGAATTCATCCAATGGAAATTGTTTAGTATCCAAGTGTCAGCAGCAGGAAAAAAAAACAATTCGATATTTCAAGCTTGAATTTCATGAATCAGAAAATTGCACTTTTATTTTGTTCCAAGAAGGGTAACTTTCACTTCATTCAATATGAACGTTGTAGTCTTCTTTGTCTCCAAGGAATCACTTCTTTTTCTTGTTTTTCAACAAATTAGGTGCCGCTAATTTCACCTTGCCAGGAATGTTTCGAGAAATATCACTGTCCTGTAAAAATAAAAAAAAAAGTAACAAAAATATCAGAACATATCAGTGTATATATATATATATATATATATATATATATTAGGACCAATATTATTAATGAATTTACATGTCCCTCAAGGAACTGTGTTCCTGATCAAACTAAATTCATCAATAATTATATTGGACAAACTACTACAGGCCTATCAAGAAGACTCACATTACTTCTCTCTGACCATATTGGGATCCATTTAAACACACACAAAACCTACCAAAGTCCGTCTGCAACATACTTGTAGAAAATATGGCTGCGATAGCCTCATCCCCATGTATAAATAAGATATGAACAATGTCACAAAGTGTAGACCGTATTTGGAAAATAAAAAACATTCCTGTCACTATAGATACACATATATAAAAATCTACATATTCAATTAAAAATTTTTAAAAAATAAAAATACTTGATAATGGCTAATAGAAAAGCTAAGAGCACACACTTCTCTCTCTCTTACATATATATATATATATATATATATACACACACCATTTGGACAGTTTTTACATACTACATACTTGTACAAACACATAAAAAATTTAATCACAGTACATTGTCAGTCAACTTTAATGAAATTTGTATAACAGAGGAATTGCTGGCCAAATGTGTGTGTGTGTGTGTGTGTGTGTGTGTGTGTGTGTGTGTGTGTGTGTGTGGAACCTTGTTACAGAATTGTAGAAAAATGCAATAGATTTAAATTATCCCACTTAAAATCAAAATTAACTCATTTTTGTGCAATTTTTCGATCCAATTTGAACTTCTAGATTTCTGTATATTAACCAATCAGAGATGTTAATTGTAAGCATGTGAAGACCTTTGAAATTTTCAGACAATGAACAAAAAAAAAAATTATCTGCAAATGAAAAGTTTTTCCCAAAATAATTGGCGAGGAAGGGGTTAATGGTTGATTTGATTTGTTTGTTCAACAGTATCACAATTTCTTATGGGTTGTTTGTTTAACGGTATATCAACTTCTTATAGGATATTTTGTGCATATATACATGTTTGTATGGACATAATTACTAGAAGCAGTGATATGTGTGTTTTATGGTGAAGTTTTGCTGAAATTATATTTTAAAATATAGTTTGATTTCTTTAAGAAATTTTAGGATATATGGATTAACGTTATGAAAGAGTTCTTTCATATTGGTTGTTTGATTTTGTTTAGTGGCATATCAACCTTTATGGGTTATTTAATGCCAAAATCTAAATGTTTGGAACACAATTTTATGGTGTCAACTAAATATCTACTATAAATAGGTATTGTTGGTAATTTTTTTCTTTTATATTAAAATTTATTTTTATATTTTTAAAGTGTCTTGTTTACTTGTAGGCATATCATTGCTCAGCTATAGATTATAATCAGTCATGATAATTCATCAAAATTAACTTTAGTACCTCTTATATACTACTATGTTTGTCATTGTTTTTGGTTACTTAGAGATTTAGGTTGATGGGTCTAAGTGGGTTGTTAATTTGTAGTATAGAATTTTATGTTTTGCCAGTTTTAGTTTTGTTTTTGGCAGTGCAAAGACTTTCCGTTTTGTCTAATGAATCAAATCATTTTTTTTGTTTCAAGTCTTTGTGTTGTGTTTTTATTGCTGTTTGTTTTGGTTCTTTAGGGGACCTCTCTTTTTCTCTCTCTCTCTCTTGAACTCCAAAAATTGGGTATTCTGTCGAGTGGGATGATAGTGGGAATTTGAGATCTTTGTGATCTCTGTTTAGTAGCATTAATCTTTATGGGAGATATTTTGGTATCTTTAGAAGGGGTTCTGACAAGTAATTGTTCTTTAATATTAGTTTTGTTTTTATTGTTCAAATTAGTTTTAATTTCTTGTATAAATGTGGATCAATCATTTGAACCCAGTTACATCAATTTTTTTTATCAGAGTTTTGTATTCATCATTATTAGTTTTTTTTTTTTTTTGATCTGAGCGGTCACATTTTTTTTTTCTATAACCTTCCACGGTTTTGCATGCTTCCTCATAGGAAATGTTTCTAGTGTGATTTATGGTTATAATTTCTTTCTCCTTCCTCCATATCTCACATGATCTGGTGTATGCTGGGTTGTTTGCAGTTAGCACATTTGTACATGTCCTCACACAAATTTGTCATATGGTCTGGGTCCCATTGACCACATATGTTGCACAGGGTTCTTCCATGATGACCAAATTTTTGACAATTATAAAATGGGAGAGGGTTTGGGATATGAGGTCTAACCTTATCAATGTTATAGCCTATTTTGACTACTTTTAAAATTGTAGGCATATCAAATGTTAATACACATGTGCCCCATTTTTTAATGCTGACTCTTCTTACATCAATGATTCCTTGATTTTTTTTAATTCAGTTCTTATTTCTTCCATGGAGAAGTGGGACATCTCTCTGCTTCTTATCACTTCCCTTAAAGTATTCAATGTTTGGGGGGGGGGGTAGGCCTTGATTTCTTTCTTCATGGAATTTTTTCATCTTTCGAAGTGTGTGTCTTTTCTATTCAGGCTTTTAACATTGTTTGGCATTATATTGGAAGATATTACTTTTGTATCAAAAACAGAGAGATTTTCATGAGTAGAGTTTCCTCCTCTGATTTGAAGATTATGAATCTTTGGAATGATACTCTCTCCTCATCCGATTCTATTTCTGTTTACACTTGCATGTGAGATTTTTTTTTTTTTTTTAATTAGCCATATAAATTTTATTTGGAGTTCAGTAACCAGATTCCTCACTTGCCATAGAGTCCCACACAGGCATAGGCCAGGTGGGGGGGACCCATCTGCCTTGGCTTATCAGGGCTACCTAGTCAATATACTCACATTACACAAGGAAACTTTTTTCTTTTTTAAATACTCAAGCTTTGGTACTCAAGATTACAACTAACCTGTGGAAATTAAGTTATCATTCCTTTTTTGGCATGATTAACCTACAGCCACCATCTTCTGATTCAGGAGAAACCAAACAAGGGCTTGACATGGTAGTAGGTTTGGTATTAAAAGTATCTAAACCCAACTTCTTAACTACCAGGATCCCACATCCCCAGACATTATGGGTCACCATCCATGACAAACAGGTAACCTCATGGGTTACCCCTCTGCAAAGATGCAGTCAGCATATTCTGAAGCCCTAAGGGACAGGGCAATAAGTATATATGTATTTATATGTATGCAATGATGTTTAAAATTTGATATATTTATGGGAGGGAAGTGTGCTCAATGTCAGATATAGAGCACAAACATTATATATATATATATATATATATATATATATATGTGTGTGTGTGTAGTGTGGGCATAGGAATTAACACTGCATACTGGCTGTCACTTTACTGCCTCAACCAAACTTCAGGCCATATTGTGTGTGTATGTGTGTATATATATATATATATATATATATATATATATCATCTGAAGATTTAGAACGATTTTCCACAATTGTTAGAGCTCTCTTCCACACTAGTCAAGGAAACAAGTCGGCAATCTTCAGGCCTGTGCAGGAAGATTTAAGGTGGGGAACAGCATATGTATTGCTGATCCCAGTCCATGTCAGAATTTAATGAACATCTTTTTTTAATTGTAAAAACTTTTTATATTACAACATTCATAAACACATGTGCAGGGCATTTCATCGTTTATTGTAAAAAAAATATTTAAAATTCACAATCCCAACACAAATCATATAGAAAGAGCTATTGAAATGTCACCTTTCACTGTATTAATATATGTCATATATATCACTAGTGTGTCAAAACAAAATCACTTATTCAAATAACACCTTCTAAAAAAAACTATGTACTTTCCTTCCAAGCCAACATATAAAATGTTAGTGTGTATATATATATATATATATATATATATATATATACACACACACACACACACACTAGCACATGCTGCCCATGAAGCATTTTAAAAATGGTAAATATTTTGTGTTTGTTAGAAATTCATTTGGCATATGAAAAATTCCATATTGTGTTAGCCTGACTTTATTCAACCAATACTTCACTGTATTTCTATCAAATTAATCCTTTTAACTCTGTAGAAAAAAAGAATTTTCGAGTTCTCTCTTTCCATATATTTGATTTTACCTCAATCATACACAGTAATTTACTCTTTCAACCTGGGGTTAATTTTCTGCAATCAATGTGGCCCTTCAAGATTGTCTTTATTGTGCAGGCCTTTTCTCAAATATATTTTTCTCATATTCATTCACATTCAATATCCACTTATTTCATAGAGGCTTTATTGCTTTGCTTGGGATGAAATGATTAAAAAGAAAATCTATTCAAGAGTGAAAATAGTAATGTACAATAAACTTAACAATTCCAATTCAATACTAATATTATTAGTATTATTATATCTTAATTGCAAAATTTTTTATTAAAATGTTCCATTTCATAGTTTACAAACAGGATACCAGTTAATAAATTTTAATAATAGAGGAAAAAGTAAGAGATACAATGGTTGAAATGTGACTATTACAATCACAATGAGGATAAGGTTCAATTAAATTTATATATAATAACACTGATTCCTCATCTGACCAGAAGATTACAGAAGAGATATGAAAAAGCTGCAGGTGATGGTGGCTGAAATATGGCTACAACAACCACAGTGAGGACATTAATCCAAATAGATCAATCTCTCTTTCTCTTTCATAGATATATTATATATATATATATATATATATATATATATATATATATATATATATTTGTTGCTTTGTAATGCACAAAACTTCAAGCTAAGTTTTAGACTTCCTAATCTCATATTTGATGAAAGACCACTTAAATTTTCAGATGACCAAAAATAAAAATAGCTTATATTAACCTGCAAAGATAAAAATATATCCCTAGTATTAAAACATTGTTATATGGCTATCAACGCTCTAAAACAGACCTGCACAAAATATGGACCCTGGGCTGTATGTGACCCTTGAGTCTGCATTGTGTGACCTGCAAAGCATTTTGAAAAGAGTAAATTTTTTTTCATTCATCGGAATCAATACAGTGACTCATCATGCATAAAAAATTCCATATTGAGTAAGCCTGACTTAATTCAACCAATACTTCAGTCTTCATATTTAACTCTCCATAGAAAAAGAAAAAGGCAGAATCTTCTCACCATCCCTCACCCGATCTGTTTCTTACTCAGTAATTTACTTTTGGCCTGGGGCTAATTTTCTGCCATAAATGTGTCCCTTCATTGTTTTTAATTGTGCAGGCCTGCAAAATATTCATTTCCTAAGAAATTAGGTGATTTAATGTTCCTACTGAAATAATAGAAAATGTAAGTACTGAGTGACTCTCAAGGATTGCCAGGTGCAATAGACTCCTGAGGAAGGACAAATAACATATTGGCTGAAATGAAGCTAAAGATCCAAACAGTTCATATAATTTCATAATTTTAAACAATGACAAAACAAAAAGTAAATAAAATTACTCACTTTTAGGATTTTTATTAAATCCTTTTCTCGACTTGATGCACTTTTGTCATGCAGAAAATTTGCAATAGCTGTTTTAGCAGCTGAAAAAGAAATCATTAAAAATGATGTCATTTAGATAGAAACTATATATAATATGGGGAAACAGGACTTGCATCTTGGTTTCTCAATCTGGCATTTGTCTTTAACTTGTTACTTTGTGAGCATGCAGCAGGTCCTTTCCCAGCTGCCAAGATTGAGAATTAAAATACAATATTGGGTAAACATTGGACAGTCAGTGGAAAGATTTCACAATGATCACACTGTATGTTTACAATTCCTCTAAAATACATATTAGTTGAGACTGTAGTTATAGTTAATGGCACATCATAAGGGGGTCATCTCTGTATCTATGAATTCACATAAGACATCAATGTCACTACCATCACTTCTAAGGCTTATGGCCATATCACGTTAAAACACTGGTTCCCATATGGTCATTGAAGTTAAACAACATCAAGCCTGGTCAGTACCTAGATGGATGGCTGCTTGGGAATACCATTTGCTGTATGCTTGAATGTGTAGGTTGTGTAATGGATAACAGCTCAAAATTGAAAATTGGAGTACTGAGTTCTAATTCCAGTTAAGTTATATTCACTTACACCCAAATACCCTTGGCAAATATGAATCTGCTGCTTCTCCCCCTATCTATGGGTTAATTAGTAGTTGTTGTATCAGTGACTTATTATTATCTCCCAAAAATTCTTACAATCTAAAAATATGTTTTGGCTTTAAAAATTGATAAGCTGTAAAAAAAAAAAAAAAAAAAATCCATCTCTTCTTGCTTAAACATCAACTCAGGGGCACTCTCCTCTAATTAAGACTTTCCAGCACCAGAAATGATGTATGTACATATTTGTATAATATTTGAATTTATTGTGATTTGTATCTTTGCATGTTAATGAGGAAATTTGACACTCAACAGGACATATTGAAGGCAAGAATGATAAAAGAAAGCAGCATATGACCTACCTAACTAGCTTGTGTAAATGATTGGCAGAACAGGGATTAGGAGAGACAGCAAAAAAATTTACTAAGAGCTACAAAGGACAGGAAATTGTGGAGAGCCATAATCAACCGAATGGACAGGGTACATAAAAGAAAAAGGTCTTTGTGTGCAGCAATGTTCTACTGATAAGAGTTTATATTTGTCTACTCCATTATTGAAAGAATATAAATACATCTACATTTAACTTGATAAAGTCCCTCAGAGGAGGAAATGTGTCAGCTAAGTTATCCTTTTCTCTATTCATATATCTTCTATGTGCCTTCAGAACATAAGCAATAATGGCTCTCCACAATTTCCTGTCCTTTGTAGCTCTTAATAAATTCTGTCACTTTGCTATCTCTCCTTCCAGCCTGTTCTTCATCCAGCATTAACTGCCATATGGGAGAACTGATATTACATAACAGTTCACGTTTTCATTTCTTAATACTTAGGTTTTGGAAGGCCTCACTTGCTATTCCAACATACCTTGAGAGAGCCATGATCACCCACAGATCTTTGTAGCAATGTTCTAATTATCTATACTACATTTGTTTCCTTCTCTATTGGAAAAGTTTAAGTGGATTTTTAACAACATATCAACTCTTTAGAGTCATTTTATGCCAAAACTTATCTCTATTTGAGAGGCTGTAAATATATCAGCCTGTAATAATACATCCATAAAGGGAGCTTAGACCCTCAGACACCCACCCGCTTTTTTGGTGCTATATACAGGTACAATCTAAAAGAAATATCTCTAATGTTAGGTCTATTATTTTCATTTAATCCTCTGAAATTCAGGGTAAGCCAGCTTTATGTCAACCAGTAAATATTCACCTCAAAAAAGGCAGACTGGTTACTTTGCTACAAAGATAGAAATTCTATTAGGCAACAGAAGAGCCACACCAAATAACCTGTGTATATTTAACTGCAGAAAGAAAATTTGAAATTGAGAGGACAATTTTTTATTAAATAAAATACTTACCTTTGCCACGTTTCGTTGTTCCTGGAAGTAATTTAACTTTGTATCTAGAAAAAAAAGAAAAAAAAAAAAATAGTAATTAAAATAAAAGATAAAGACTGTTTTAGTGTTTTGCACAAATCTATCAATTCTTAATAGATTTCAATTCTATAATAGTAAATGGATCGATTTTATTTTGTGACAAACCAATCAGAGAAAGTTATATTTAGTGAAAAGAAAATGAAAAAGAATTATATAAAAGAAAAACAAGAAATATAAACACACAATTGCTGATATCACCTGACAAGTGGACGGAGTGATTGCTGGGGGGGGGGGGATGCGTTTACAAAACTCTAGAGTCAGGATGAAGAAGGTAACACCAATCAGCTAAGCAACAACCTTTATATTTGTATTAATTGTATATAGGAGAATAAGATATATATATATATATATATATATATATATATATATAGAAAGAGAGAGAGAGAGAGCGTGTGATAGCAATGATTTGTTTCCTTGGCCCTAAGGTTGTAAACAGGAATAAATACAAACATTGATTTAGAGAATAAATCATAACTATTTATTTGGTGGAACACTAGCACTGTGAAAAAGAAAAAGGATGAACCTCTGTCAGAGGAATTAGTTTGTTGTGGGAATGGCAAGCATCAAACATAAATCAGACATAGAAGCTTTTGGGAGCGTATTTGGTCTTAGTATGAAAAGTTCGTACTTACAAATAAATCCAATTATCTTTCGACAGAGCATTAGTTTTCATGTTAAATTCCTTATTCATAAGTAGTGAGTAGAATTTGTGATGTCAGTGTGCTGTGCAGATGTGTCATTCCTGATCCATTGATGTAGTTGCTTTCTCCATCTATTGCTATATTGCTTCTACTTATATTGGTAGAGATAGGCTCGACTTGATCAAAGTTTTAGATTCTCAATCTTCCATTAGATTGGACAAATGCTGAATCCTTATTTCTAATTAACTGGTTTTATTTTACTGAAACTATGTCCATATTATGTTTACATTACGGCATCAAAATGTCTAAGTTAACAAAAGCTTCGATCCTGGCTTCATCTGCCCATGCATGGGAAAATATCTTTTAGATTTTTGAAGGTGTGACAGATATATAAATTATATATCAGAACAATGTTAGACAAATTAATGATAAAGTGGAAAAAATATTTTGTGTGGCATGTTTCATCCTGGAGGAGCCCATTGGATTAAAGTAATATTTTTGCTGATGCAATTATATATGCACATGAAGGGGAGGAGGAATATAAAAGTACAAACATTGGTTATAATTATGTATAGAAAGGAAACACTGAAAATGTTCAAATACTGAATTTGTTTTTTTTTCCCAACATTGTGATAATGGATCTGCCAGAAAGGTAAAATATAAAAACCAGGACGCAAATGTTTTCCCTTCATACATAAAATACATCTGTAAAGACAATATAAGTAAACGACAAAAAGAAAGACTATTTCTAACGTGTTTTGTGCCATGAGGAACTCTATCAGGGTAAATGTGGAAATTTAATTTTATAAATTGTATTTATATACAAAAGTGGGGGAAAAATATGGTTGTTTTCAAATTTTCAATTTGAGAAAGCTTTAAATTATTCTAAAAAGCTCTGTAAGGAAAGGTAAACTATGGAATGATGTAATTCATTGCCACACAAAAGTAAGTAAATGTTCTTGTTGAATTTTTATTTAATTATTTTTATTATTTTATTTAATTATTTTTGTATTAATTTGATTTCTTTTAAATATTTAAAAGTCTAGAGTTGACAGACTTATTTTAATTTTTAAAAATTTTTTATCATGGCTTGGAAAAGGAATATTTCCTTTAAGAAAGGAGATACTTGAAAAAAAAATCTAGGTTGTAAGTTAACATTTTGGTAAGAATTGATAATTGCACTCAAGAACTTTTTACCTAATTAAGTTATTTCCTCTTAATAAGTATAGCATTCTTGGGACTGAAGGTGTGGTTGAAATTATTTCTGGATGTAACAAACATATTTGATAAATTGTTATACAAGATATATATATATATATATATATATATATATATATAAAAAAAAAACACTATATTCCATGGTCATAATTTATTCCATTGTTTCATGTATGTATATTTTCCACTAATATTATATATATATATATATATATTATATATATATATATATAGTTTCATGTAACACAATCTTCAGATGACTTGAATGGTCAAGTCATCTGAAGATTGCATTGTGTAAAACTCGAGTCACAACTAGAGCCATTCTTTAATAGGATTTAACATTGGTAAGCATATTTTGCTTGGTTTAGGCAATCTAGGCTTCAAGCACTTTACTGAGCAGGTAAGTTTGCTTTCTAACCTTTTTTTTCTCTTTTCATTATTGTCATCTTTGCATCTAGATAAGAGTTTTGGCTTTGGTAAGCTGTCCGTTGGTCCCTCAATAGTTTTTGTTTTTCTAAATTAAAATGTCAGCAGGGTAAACTAAATATTTATTTTTCGGTCACCCTTTTCAGATGTTACAACTGGTTTAAATAACAATTTGACTTTATTCAATTGTTTATATAAAGCCTTTTCATAGCCCCTTTTGGTGTCTTCAAATATTACCATATCTGAGGAATTTCTAGATACAGAGTAATTGTTGAACTTCATTTTTTAAATAAAGACATAAACACAAAACAGTATCATATACAAATTTACACTGGATTGTGACTATCAGTTTCAGACTAATTAATGATGATTGAAGGTATGAAACTGCCAGTTACTATGCAGTGTTGATTTCTATGTCCTTACTTTTTATATCCACAAACATTATCCTCAATTCTGAGCACTATACCCTTATATATATATATATATATATATATATATATATATATATATATATATATATATGACATATTAATAGAGAATCCTCTATGTATCTCATAAGAAAGATCACTTTCCAGAAATTGCAAAAATAGACAAACCAAAACACCACTAAAAGGAAACCCCATCAGTAAAACAAATTTTTGTTTATAAAAATCATCGAAGGTGAACATTGATTAGTGATTAAATAGCACATTTGTTTTGGAAAGTGGTACTTTCAAAAAATGTTTTACCACAAAATTTTATTTCAGATACACTATATATATATATATATATATATATATATATATATATATATATATATATGTGTGTGTGTGTGTGATTGTCGATCTTACTCAGATGAGAACTGCCCCTGACATCACTTTTGATAGCTTTCCATCGGGTTTCAGCATCCATGGTCCCTAAGATAACACTTGAGACCAGCATTCAATTTTATAGGTATCAGGCATATATATATATATATATATATATATATATATATATATATGATAAATAAACTCTGTATCCTTGATTGGGTTAACTGGAACTGCATGTTCTAGAACTCTCCTGTGTCCCCATATAGTTCAGATGATCAACCACAGGTATTGTCAGCAGGACCGTGAGGAACATTGACATAATTGGCTTGCTTCTGGTTGTTATGACAACCTTTCAGATGGTTTACATAACATGTCCTTGACAACAGCATGCACTTATACACACGCATCACATTTCCAAGACTAATATGCAATTAGTTGGCAAACCAGAGTGATTACTTCTTCATTCATTATATATATATATATATATATATATATATATAGAGAGAGAGAGAGAGAGAGTGGAGAGAGAGAAAGAAATATTTGGTAATTCCTATGAATAATCCCAAGGATGATGTAATCCACAGAGCTCAATGTAAAAACAAAGCAAATATTAGTTAAATTAAGAAACAGACAAATTTAAGGATTAATAGGATTATAGTTTATTTCCCCAGAAACAGGATTTTCATCCTGGTTCATCAGACCCCATTTCCAAACAGAAAAAATGGTTTAAAAACTTACATATATTTTCTTATACACATGTTTTTGTTTTTGTCCTCCTCACAAACTACAAACAAAGCCACAATGTGCTAACTATGTTCGGAAAATATGCTAATCAATAGAACATTTGAACAGTTTCTACATGCTCTGTCTCCGAAAAAGAAAGCACTTGTTCAAACACAAGAAAAATTAAATAAAAACCTTAACTGTAGTACCTTGTCTGTCATTTTTAATGAAACATGCATAAAGTAATTATATGTATACATGTTCAAAGAAAAATAAAATTTAATTATAAACCCAATCTCCTATAATATGCTAATACTTATGATACCACCAAATCAAATAAGAAAAATAAAACAATGGGTAAGTAAATATTAACTTTGCCATTTAAGCATTAAATAAAAAAATAAAAAATTATTTAAATAAAAAATGGAATACACCTATATTTTCCAAACTTAAGAAAATCCCAGAACATTCAAGAAAAAAATTAAAAAATTAAAAGCAAATGCTGTCTATGGCACCAGATATAACATTGTTACATTTATCTTTGACACTCAGAGCTGAAAGAGAGAAAAAATATAAAAACCAATAGGGAGAATGTATGGGGAGGCAAGAAAAACAATGAAAAGGAGAGATAACCATTCTACATAAACACACAAGCATACACATGTGTACACCAAAAAAAAAAAATGTATAAATTATTTTTTAACTTAATATAAAAAAATAATAAAAATGAGAAAATAAGCAGTCACTTACTGATACCTCCTGAAAAATAGAGCGATTACTAAAACAGTCCATCTACAAAACTCTGGAGTTAGGATGTTGTATATAAACTCAATCAGCTAAGTGACAAATTTCATATTTGTATTAATCATATATATATATATATATATATATATATATATATATATATTACATACATACAAGCCTGTTTCACTGTATCACAGCTCATCAGTGTGGCTAGATAACCAATTGTTTCAAGCCAGGATCAAATCTTGATCGATTTGGCATCATTCAGAGACTCTACCCCTAAGCTATATTTTGTTTATACATTATTTTTATAGATACAAATATTTAAGTAAAAGCTCTGTCCATAATAAATAGTAGTAACAACATTTATGGGCTTGAATGTCCAAGAAATTTCATAGAAAATATGAAATTGATGAAAATACTTGG